TACAGCGGAACTTCAGCGCTTACTACTCAGGAGCAAAGAGGTTTAGAGAGGAGTCCTCCATCAGAAAGAGCCCTACATGGAAAATGCAGATGATTCTCGACACAGGGAAGAGACAAGGCCCTACGTCGACAACTTGCACTTCTTCAGACAGAGGTCAGACTTCTTGACAACAGTAACAATTTAATCAGACCTCAGATAGTTACAATAAATTTGAACTAGACTTTGTGACTTCAGAAAATCAGTTGCCCTGTTTATACCTGCAATTAGCATCCATCTTTTAAGTGGATTGAGACACATCAAAGATTTCACAAAGGACATCTCAAAGACATTTTCTTTTACCACTTGTGATCAGATTTCAGATCTCCCCTGTGATTAATGTTAATAATACTAGACATAAATGGTCTGAGAAATCTAACTAAATGAATTATATGAATGCATGACACTTTCAAAGGTTATCTTTAACTTAATGTAGCATTCTCTTCACAGATCAATTTGCTCCAAACACGAGACAGTGCCATCATCTCTGCAAAAACAAGGAGCTCTGTGGACATGAGTGTTGTGAGTATGAGAGATTCTTGATGATCCTGGATTGTTCTGAATTTGATTTCTTTAAACGAATATTGAACATTTGAAATTTAAACGAATGAAATGGCTGAATTTAAACAAATTTTTTTATGGCTGAATTTTCTTGACATGTATTTTCAAACAGCTGTTTTTTGTTCTGAATTCTTAGACTGCAAATATCCACTTTTAAAAAATACAGATTCAAGTTTTCAAGATTTCAGAACTTAAAATTCAGTTTTCTAAAATTCTAAACGCAGAAAATTCAGATCTTAAAGAAAGTAGGTCACAGAGAAGAGTAAAGGATCTCAGAAAAGTCGAACAGAGCATTTTGGCTGCACTGCAGTAGTTTTCTGGTGCAAACGAATCAGAGTGACTCTGACATTGTGGCTCTGCAGCCCTGGTTAGCGGCCGACTGGTATCAGCGGGGTGTGATGATGGGAGCTGTCTCATATCGAAAGGTCATCTCGACAGATGCGTCCAACTCCGGGTGGGGCTCTTTTCGAGGGCAGGCCGGTGTTTGGCCAGTGGTCAGACCAGGAGAAGCTCCTTCACATAAACTGTCTGGAATTTATAGCGGTCAAGAAGGGGCTGAAGCGCTTCCTCCCGTTCATACAGGACCACCATGTTCTACTCCGTTCAGACGGCTTGGTAGTGGTGTCCTACATCAACCGTCAGGACGGCGTCAGATCCAGGAGCCTCTGCGTTCTGACAGCGCCTCACGTGGTCTCAGCATCACCTGCACTCGCTGAGAGCTGCGCATGTGCCAGGCCACCTGGATGAAGGCCCAGACAAATTAGCCAGGGACAACATTCCCCCAGGTGAATGGTCCCTGCACCCCCAAACAGTCCAGAAACTATGGCACCTGTTCGGCAAAGGGAAGTCGACCTATTTGCACCAAAAGACAACGCTCACTGCCCGATGTTCTTTTCAAAGAACGAGGACCCGCTGGCCCAAATCTGGGCAAGCCGCCTGCTGTATGCCTTCCCTCCGGTCTCTTTGTTACCACAGGTAATCAAAAGGACCAGAGAAACGCACCACTCAGTGCTCCTTAAAGCTTCGTTTTGGGAATCTTTTTCCAAGTCAATTCGTTCATTTCGTTCATTGAATGCACCAAATGACTCGAAAAAAGATTCATTCATTTTGATGAACGAGTTCGAACAGGAGAGTCACGAACGTGTATCATAGAACAGAGCAAGGCAAACATTTGAGCTTATAAAACTTAAACTTTGTTATTTATTTTTTAAATTAGCGATTGTTTCGCTTGATAAGACCCTTATTCATCGTCTGGAATCGTTTAAAGCCCTTTGAACAGTTTGCAGTTTGCACTGAAACTGTCTTTTGGACCTTGAACCGTTTGGTTCCCAGTAAAGTGCATTTATTGGAGAAAACATCCTGAAATGTTTTCATCAAAAACCTTAATTTCTTTTCGACTGAAGAAAGAATGACATGGATATCTTGGATGACATGGGGGTGCGTAAATTATCAGCAAAGTTTTTTTTTTAAAGTGAACTACTCCTTTAACGGATAAAACATTTATCTGACTCAGTTGAGCACAAAAAAAGTATTTTCATTTTTATGCGCATCTTCGCATTTCCATCCAACTTTTTTTCATGCAATATCCCATGATTCGCAAAATTTGGATGGAAACAGATAGTATCTGTGTTGGTATATTACCTTGTTTTCCTTTTAGGCAAAGTTGGAGTCGTGAAAAGGGCTCAGTCCTGTTTCTCCTCATACCTTAACAATCTGAAAATGAGAAATGAGAGACTCTGCGAGACTCCTGTGAAACGTTTGAAGGTCAGAATTCCGACTATGTACACAACTGTCCGAAAATATATTATTCAAATCAATATAGTCTAATAATAGTACACTTCAATGCCTATATAATTTATTTCTGTAAGATATACTGTATTGTGTCAAAGTCTAAATCGAATTTTCTTGAGTTTCCCTTTAGATGATGATGAATAATGGAACAGCAGCTGTAAGCATGCAGCAGTTCTCATACAAACCCAAAGACGCACTGCCTGCTGCCAAGAAGTATTTTGGTTTTCTGCCGACAACAAAAGTTGCCCTATTATTGTCGATGAAGTTGTCATTGTTGATATTGTATTATTTCCTAAAGTTGAAATTCCTTCTTGTAGGTTTGAGGGAAGTCAGTGTTACACTCAAAGTACATATGAAATCAAGGAGTTAGAGGCCAGTTTTGTCACTCCACACGAGAATTTGTCATCATACCATGACGGTATGTTTACTCTGATTCACATACACATTTGTTGACAGAAAATGTTGCAGTTACAGTGAGAGTTTCTTTGGAATTAGAGTTTAATTAGAATCTCAGAACTCTCATGTTTCAATTGTCAAACTATTTACAGGTTATAATGACGAGCTTGAAGACTTCTATTCTGAAACTGGAGACCTAGCATTGGAACATCCTCCACCTTCTGCTTTACATCAAAGTATGGAAGCTTCTGGTGAGTGGTGTTTGCTTCATATTGTTCATATTAATAATGATAATAATATTAATATTAATAATGATGATGGTAACATCATATTTTCAGGGGTTTCGCTTCACAGTCAGTTCAAGCCACGCAGCGGTGGACAGATGCACAGAGTTAGCCCTAATAAAGCCAGTGTTTATTCAGTCCATGCAAACCCAGACCACATTACTGACAATGATAACCTCTGGTCTGGTTCCCTGGATGTGACCTTTGACCTGGGAGTGAATGATTGGGATGATTTTGATGATGGTAACCTGGTTGATGCTAGTGAGGTGTGCTATAAATCCCAAATATGTAACCTGATGACAGACCACGATCAACCTACAACTTCTGGTTTGTTGGACTTATTTTATATTCTTATTATTTCTATTTATGTTTTTTTGTATGTCAGATATTTGTAAAGTCATTGGAAAATTGTTGAAATGCTAAAACTTCCTTGATGTTTTTTGTTGTTGTTTTTGTACACTCACAATATCCAGCCCAAGCCTTCGAAGTCTTGCCACAAAGGTAACTGAGACTAGACCATTTTTCCCTCTTCATTCACATCAGTTCAGTTTCAGTTCAGCAGAAATAGATGTTGTGGGGCATTTTTAAAATCACTCACAGTCACCCACTTCCCCTGATTAAAAGCTTGTTTAATAGGGATTCAAGAGCAGTTATTCTAGGGTCCAGAGGGTGTATTATGTTTCTGTATAATATATCCTGAAGTATCCTTTGCTCTTGTACTAATGCCTCTGAAAATATGATTACTTTTTTCAGGATCCCACCAATGGCTGTGACACCCCAGACTGTAAGTATACATAAATACTTATAACATTTCCCTCAAATTTTTCAAGATGAATATGGTACCATGCAGTTTGGTTACTTAGAAAGCACACAATGAGTGTGTTTCAGTTGCAAATAGCTAGTTTTATAATTCTTTCATAGGCTGTGCGCTCAGAAAGATGTATGAACTCCCTCTCAAACCAGAGTCAACCCAAAACACCTTCAGTTCAAAGAAGATTTGATTTCTTCTCAAGCACAGATGCGGCTCTAGAGGAAAACACATCTAGCAGGTATTTCAAGAAATTATTACCTTTAGTTATCATATTACCTGTTTACAATGTTAACATTGCTTAATAATTGCAGGGATCACACAGAGGACATCAGCAATGAGACCAGTGTTTTTCTCGGTATGTTTGATGGCCTTTTTTAGAGTTAGAGTGAATGATTCCTGACACATTTAGCACTACGTTCTAAAGACTCCAAGTTCCTCAGACATTTTTTTTTTATTTTCTGGTGTAAAGACGTTCTTGGTTTAACTTCACTTTATGGACAATTTTATGGCAAAAAGTTATAATATGTTGGCAAATAGCTTGCTGAACTATATTTTGATGTTCAATATTTTAATTACATTCCTAAATGTATCAAAAATTCTTAATTTTACTAAAAATATTGGAAAATTGATCTATAAATATCACATGAAATGAAAATAAACTGTCAATATGGTTCTAAGTCATGAATGAATGAGAAGTGTTTGTGTCTCTGTTTTAGTTTGCCAGGACACTCCTTTTTTTCCTACAGTCTCTGTAAATGTAAGACAGTTCTCTGAGCTAGGCCAAACAATTTAGCTGCAATATGTCAAGTACTGTTGTGGCAAACGTTTATTATAATTTCAAACAGAAAATGATTTACAATGTTTGCACACTTAACACTATATATCTTACTATCTTAATCTTACTATCTTAAACACCTGTGACATTCCAAACTTATCTGACCAATTTACCCATACCACAATCAAGACTTTTCAATAGAGACATTAAAAAACAAAGAACACATTTTCACTGCAATTATCGAAAACAGCACCCGAAAAAAATGCACTTCAGTCTATCATTGCAAGGCATTACATATAGGCCTATGGCATGATTTGGGAAAACGTTTACATTAATTCATAAAAAATTAATTCATTTGTTCTCCTTGGATTCTCTGGACATGGGACTCTTCATCTTCTGGCCTGCACTGGGCTGGGGCGTTGTAAATATATCCTGCTCTCTTATCAGTGGAGCTAAAATGGAACATGCTAGTTAGTTTACAACCCATGTACATTTCAACTTAATGTGTCACAGAGCAAAAGAAAGATAGATAGACAGATCTAATATTTAAGATGCAGCAACTTACGTTTTCATTCTTTTGAATGCGATGCACTTCAAAATTCCTCCCAGGACTAGCAAAGCTCCTCCTACCCAGGCTATGTAGAGGGCGGGACCAAATGTGTACCTAACCATTCAAAACAAAGATGGAGAAAACAGGAAGTGATTTGATCAGCACATAACAGACACCCGTTGAACATTTGCCAGTTAAAAATCAATGTTTCTCCACTTGCCTGGAATCAAATGAATCAATTCCTCCCATGCCCATGTTATTCCCACATTGTACCCCTCCCTTCTCTCCTTGCTTTTGATTGTATGGGGTCATCATGAAACTAGGCACAATTTGATCAGCATACACTGATGCTCCAGAAATACCACAAAGGCCTGAAAGGAACAAAGATATGGACATTGTGTGTTATAATGGGAATCACTGTAATAATAACAGTTTAATCTGTAACCTAATAGAATTTAATAACTGACAGATCCGTGGGGTTCAGTTAGTAATGAATACGCTTTTGTTTACCAGCAATGATAAAGATGATCCCTGCGCTTAGTATCAGTTTGGCCTTGGTCGATAATGCCATACTTCTCATTTTGAGGCACTTAAGGCAGAAGAATCCGATGAAAACTGCGATCACACTTGCTAAAATTGCTACCACCATCAAAGCTCTTGAAGCCTGAAGGAGTCCTGAAAAAGAAAACAAACGGAAAAGAAAAAAAAACAGGATGTTAGAGGGTCATTAGCGCCTTTGAGTTTGATTTCTACCTAATATTATTAAGTATGGACTAGAGCAGATGACAACAATATCAAAGACAAAAAAGTGTATTTTCATATACAATTGTCAGGCTAGCGGTTACTGAACGGTGCTCACAAAAGAAACTTGGTGAAAAAATTTCTGAGAACACTTCTGGCACAAATTTAACTCCATGTTTAGGTACGTTTTGGGTTTGTATAAAATCTCACTATCGATCTAGAAAAAATAAATACAATTTCAACCCACCTGAGTAGTTCAGATGGCCGTAGAGAGGTTGGCACTCGGCGAATCCAGACCTGGCCACCTCACAATCCTTCCACAGGCCCTTATAACTGGAGATGGAAGTTACCTTCTGCTCCTGCTGGTTTCTGGCGCACCAGACATCCATGACCGTGGCTGCAAAAACTCCAGCCGTACCGATGACGCCTGATACAAAACCTGTGGTCTGCAGCGCGGAGCCACTCATTATGCTTCTGTCTTCGTTTCTCGGTTAAGATCTGGGGAAGCTGTTAGTGACAAGCTTTGAGTTCAACTGAAGCTGGACAGGGTGAGACTGCTTTTTATAGTTTGAAGGCTCATTTGCACACTCATTAAGTGATGCTTGTAATAAGGTCATAGTTCCACCTACTTATAACAGAAACATAAAAGGACGATTTTAATCATCATAATCTGTCTGAGCATTAACTCAACACAAATATACCTAAGTTCACTTGATGTGTAATATCTGAGAACAGTTCAGACAGGCCTTAAATTGCACACCTAATTGCTAGATCATTTTGACTCAGTGAGTAAACATTTAATTCAAGATTAATTCTGCTTTGCAATTCCTTCACCTCTCTGACTGTTGCTCTGCTGAATACTTTACTAATACTGATGCATGAAGAATCAGCATATGATGAAAAGAGTGAAAACAATGAGTAATTAATTATATTTATGAGGATGGAAAAAAAACATGAGACATTATAAATGGAATGTGCAAAGATTTAAAAATGTTTTATAGCATTTAATTGCACGTGGTAAGATGCACGTGATAAGGTGTACACATTATTCAGTAAAATTATGAAAAATCAGTGATCACCTTCATGATTGTGCGTGATATTATGCATTATTAGTATCCAGACATAAACAGCATATTCAGGTTCTGGCTGGGCCACTCAAGGACATTCACAGAGTTTCCATGAGCCATTCCTGCATTGTCCTGTTGGAAGGTGAACCCAGGTCTACCCAGTCCGAGGTTCTGAATCCTCTGGACTAGGTTTTTTTTAAGGCAATCTCTATATTTTGAGCTTTCCTTTGACTCTTATGAGTCCCCCAAGTCACTGTCGGTGTCTTCCCCAGCTATGTGTGTTGACACATTCCAGTCTCTGAGCTCTACAGGCAGTTATTTTGACCTCATGACTTGGTTATTTTTAATACTTTTGCAAATTAGATTAATGTGAAAAGTAATTTAAAGTAGTTAAAGGCAGCAACAACGCAAAATGTGGGGGGAAAAAAAGTAATGGGGTTTGAATACTTTCGCAAGCCACTGTATAACATAAGAAAAATGTACAAAAAATAAAACAATCTTATGAGATAAAGCAAAACTAAAGAAAGTCTTGTAATGAAGAAGATGATTTCCATCTGTCCCACCTCTTGTCCTTTTATATATTCCACCTATTACAATTAAATACATTTATAAATTATTAATATTTTGATAGACAGTAGAATTGTAGAAAACTGTTAATTAACCAAAAAATAGGGGTTGTTCCCAACATAACCCATAAAGAGCTTGGCATGTTGCTGTCTAGAAGATCAATAATGTATTACAATGGACAAGGCAGAGAGAAGAAATAACGTAAAAGATGTCAGAATATAGGAGGAAGGGGGAAAAAAACATGGCAAACATACAAATGCAAATCTGCACTTGTTGAAAACAGGGAATGCAAAAAAAAAAAAAAAAAAACAAAAAACAGACCAGACAATTTGTTTACAATTGAAAAGTTTTTTTTATTGATACAATGTTTTTCTTTTCTTTAGGATTTCAATCACAGCTTTAGACAAAACGACTGTTGCCTGAATATAATTCATGAAGCATAAGACCACAAGACCATATCAATAACCAACAATTAAATAAAGACAAACAGTGAAATACTCCCGCCAACCCACCAAATTCGGGTGGATTTCAGCAGTGGTGTGTAACGCAGTCACTTTGGCGGGATGAATTATATATATTTTTTCAATTGTAGTCTTTTAAAAAGGCATCTGAAATAATAAACTAAGTGCAATGTAGTGTTGTCAAAAAATACAGATTTTTCGATCTATGTGGAAAAATCTGAAACTCTTCCAGTACTCATTGTCTGCAGAACCAGCTTTGTCGTTCTCTCGTCTCTCCGAAAGCGAGTTGACACAAACTCGCCTCCCTCACTTTATTGGCTCTGGATTAATATTGCTGGAGTTAGGGGTTCACTTTCGCCTTGGGATTGCGCATAATTTTACTTATTGCTGCAGATTTTGTATTCACACCCAGAGTGCGCGCACATAAAGCCACTTCCCAGTCCTAAATTTTACGTGATCATAATCAGTTGTGTTTTAAGTGAATGTAAACAGTTCAAAACAGTAAAAAAAAAAAAAAAAAAAAAAAGCCATGATTTAGAGTGAATTTATACCAGCTAAGGCAACGTATATCATAGTAAACCACGGCTAAATGGGGCTTATTGATATAATTGACAGGTTAAATCGCTACTACTTTGTAATTGGATAAAATTAAATTCAAAATTAATGTTCTGTTGTATAACATTATGTTTACAGTAAGCTGAGCATGCTTTCAAAACAAATGTTTTATCTGGTTTAAAATATTTTTTATTCCATTTTTTTTGTTGTTTTGGGCATTTTAGCGTGTAGAAAAATGTCTTTGAAAGAGTCTTTCACTGCATTTTCATCCATATAACAATTTTCAGGAAAAATTTCAATACACAAATGACCTCAAATCATCATGGCATTTGAGTGTGTTAAAAATTAATCTTTGGCTCTGAGCATTAAGTAATTCTATCATTTATAATTATTACAATGATCCCATGGGCTTCATTAATCAATGCGAAAATAAATGTGAAATTCCAAAACGGCTACAAACTAATTCTAACTTACTAGGCTATCATTATTAAAATAAAATTAATAATCAAAGTGTTGCCCATTCAATAGGCTGAATGTTCATGAAAATTTAGCCTATTAAAGGAGTAGTTCACTTTAAAAAAAAAAAAAATTCTGATAATTTACTCACGTCATCCAAGATATCCATGTCATTCTTTCTTCAGTCGAAAAGAAATTAAGGTTTTTGATGACAATATTCCAGGATTTTTCTCCATGTAATGGACTTCAGTGGGAACCAAACGGTTCAAGGTCTAAAAGACAGTTTCAGTGCAAACTGCAAACTGTTCAAAGGGCTTTAAACGATTCCAGACGATGAATAAGGGTCTTATCAAGCAAAACGATCGGTCATTAAAAAAAAGTTTAAGTTTTATAAGCTCAAATGGTCGCCTTGCTCTGTTCTGTGATGCGCGTTCGTGACTCTCAAAATGAACGAATCTTTTCCCCAGTCAACTCGTTCATTTCGTTCGTTGAATGAACCAAATGACACGAAAAAAGTTTCGTTCATTTTGATAAAGGAGTTCGAACAGGAGAGTCACGAACGTGCATCACAGAAAAGAGCAAGGCGACCATTTGAGCTTATAAAACTTAAACTTTGTTATTTAAAAAAAAAGAGCGATTGTTTCGCTTGATAAGACCCTTATTCATCGTCTGGAATCGTTTAAAGCCCTTTGAACAGTTTGCAGTTTGCACTGAAACTGTTTTTGAACCTTGAACCGTTTGGTTCCCATTGAAGTGCATTATATGGAGAAAATCCTGGAATGTTTTCATCAAAAACCTTAATTTCTTTTCGACTGAAAAAAGAAAGACATGGATATCTTGGATGACATGGGGGTGAGTAAATTATCAGCAAAAGTTTTTTTTTTAAAGTGAACTACTCCTTTAAGATCCACTTGAACTTAAAGAGAATCAGGAAAAAAACAGACGGCTTTTCTCTTTAAAAAACTTTCCGCGATATTAATCCCATCCTAATGTCTGAGTCACAGCGCTGTAGAGTTCACTGCAGTCTTGCTCATACCTGGAAACACTATGTAGGCAAGTGGAGGTGTGAGACTGGAAGAAGACCAGGGCGAACAGTTACAGGGCAGCAGGTATCCGGGGTTTGCAGGAGACATGTGAGTGCGCACGTACTGACCGGGGCATCCCAGATTCCCGATGCACCTGTGTCCACTCTGATAGCCTAAAGCTGGAGAAAAAGCCATCGAGCCAGGGGTTATGGCAGGGTTTTCATGTTGGAAAGCAGTGTTGGATCCGATCTGCTCAATGAAAGGATGCTGCATGGACGCAGATGAATGGAGAGGTCGTGGTTTATTGGTCAAAGTTGAGATGCTTTGAAAGTCTCGCTCGCTGTGAAGCGCTAAAGACAACATCGTGTCCTTCCTCAACAGTCCTTTAGGTTTGCGTCTCGGTCGGTATTTGTAATCTGGATGCTCTCTCATGTGTTGGGCGCGAAGTCTTTTGGCCTCGTCGATGTAAGGTCTTTTTTCAGACTCGGAGAGCAACTTCCACTCGGCACCAAGTCTCTTGCTGATCTCAGAGTTGTGCATCTTCGGGTTCTCCAGTGCCATCTGTCTTCTCTGACCTCGCGACCAGACCATGAACGCGTTCATTGGTCTCTTGATATGCTCCATGGGCTGCTTCACCATGTTCCTCAAGTTCATTTGCTGCTTTGCGTCACGGAAGAAAAAAAAATGCTATAACACCTGCTATTTAAATCATCTGTGGAAAGAGAGGGTTCCTCTGGTGAAGAGAGATGAGGACTGCAAGTCTATGAACGCGCTGTATGAAGGGCAGGATTATTTCTTTGCAACTTACAGTGAAGTGTGTGTGAACGAACTCTTGGTTTGTGAGTATTTGTTTCAGATCTATGTCAAGAGCAGAGAGTTTCAAAAAAAGCTTTGCAGCGAGGAGCGCGCGCTCTGACACATCATCACCTCTCGCGCCCAATCAGCGCGTGAGCGATATATACAGTTACAATGACACCAGAAAAGCAATGATTTCGGCAAAAAGGGGACTTAATGAAATTAAAATTACGTTAAAGCTGTTTATAAAAGTTTAGGTAAGCCCCCGCCACACACACACACACACACACACACACAGCCTTGATCTTACACTGTGCGAGGACACCATTCAGTGCTGTCCTTGGTGCTTGATTAATTACCACAAAAGCTGTCATATATAGGCATAACATGAACATTCATTTAAAAAAAAAAAAAAATTCGAATAAAGGCTATACGAATGCATAAGGGAATTTTTTTGATGCTGTGACAATTTCCTTTATAGCCTTTTTTTCTTTTAATCACCTTCTTGCCTTGGTCAGTTCATTTCAAATGCTTGACTGAATGAATTTCTAAAAGTATAAACATTTCATAATCTTTAAATTAATTTGAGCTCATAAAACTTGCATAACAATGATAAAATAACCTGAATCTGTTTTACATTTTTGATGCATTTGCTATTCACATCTAAACAGAATGTTATTCTGTTTGATTATGATAATGTTAATGTTATTCTCATTTACAAATCTCATTTACATAACTAATTCATGTAGAAAATATCTCATTTCACAAATTTTATATTCATTTAATAATTTAAATATAATACTTTATCCTCATGCATGCATTTACAATCAGCTGATACAAAAATATCAAGATTATCAAGACATTTCCTGAATTTACCCTTTTATAATAACATGTAAAACAATTGGGATTTGGTAAGTATGCAAAGTGCACGAGAATGACTATATTCAAAAAGGAACATCTGCTAATGCCTATCTGTCCATGGATAATGTTAGCCATGAATAATCACATATCTAAGAAACTATGCCTGTATGTCTCGAGCCCACTGCTTGTGTGAATTGTTCAGATAAATGAGAGAGAGGACAGCTAGTGATTTGCTGTGTCCAGCATGAGATTTTATTTTCCGCACTGAGGGATTTCTGACACAGGGAGGCACTGGTCATGCTGTGAAGCTGATTGCTTTTTTATTTGCCTTTTACAGGTAGATAATATGCCCATTGAAAAGCTATCAAATCTATATTCTGCTTCTTTTTTTTTCTTTCATTGCCTCAAATGACAATGATGATGAGGAGCTTAGCAGACATCTAAATATAAGGCCCTTTATTTTTATAAGGACAAAAAATAAACTACCTATGGAAACAATGTAATTGATTTAGGTTTCAAATAAGTAGTGAAATAAACTTTAAATGTGTAATATGTTAACTAAAACATGTGACCATTGCAACAGGTAAAAAGTCAACCCGGTCTCACCCCAAGACGTCATATAACTGACGTTTTGGGACGTCTTTTGACCATACGTCAATATTCGCCTTTTCAGGGCCCCCTTAAACGTCGGTAGATGAGGTTATGAGATCCTAACTCTACCCCAGACCTAAACCTAACCCGTCACCTAACTGACGTTAAAGGTAAAGCGTCAGTTGTATGACGGCCCGGGATCGCCATCTACCGACGTTTAAGGGGGCCCTAAAAAGGCTGATATTGACGTACGGTCAAAATACGTCCCAAAACGTCAGTTTTATAACTTTTTGGGATGAGACTGTGTTAAAAAAGTCAAGGGTCAGTGTTCTTCTGAATATATTCAGATGCTTTGTATCAAGGAGTTAAATTAAGTGCGTATGACAATATGCGTGAGAGTCGCCAAAATCACAAATTAATCATAATCCGTTTCTCCTGCAAGCAAAATTGTTGCTATACCCTAGGACTCGCCATTTCTTATCATGTCAGAAGACATTTAGAGGAATTGGAAAAATGCAGTTAGTTATTATATTATAAAGGTTATTTATTTATTTATTTATTTTATTTATTTATTTATTTTTCTCTCTCAAATGTGCTTAGGTTTTTAATGGCATTGCACTGGTGGAAATTTTCTACATTAAAAGGTGCACAACTTCTGATATTATTTATCAACAGTTTTTGACATCACAAAAAACAGTTATTTAACAACATGTTCACTGTAATGATATGCCCAGAAATTCTTTGATTACTTGTTTCAAGCAATTTCTACACTATGTTTTCTCTGCATGTTGCATGCATTTGTAAAGAGATATTTAGACCTCTTTGACTGTTTCCGGTGTGGTAAAGGACTAGTGACATTCAAGTGGTGCATTTTGAAAACCTCTTCCAGAGCAATTTCCTCTGCTCTGGGGGATAAAGCTTGTGCTTATTTTAATCATATTTGAGAGAAGTCAAGCTTTGCTTTAATAGCCTTTCAAGGAAATATTGGTGGTAAAAATGTGTTGGAGGAATGAAGGAGACAGCTCAAATCCTGAGAGGTGTCCTGATCTATCCCAAGCCACTCTCTCACGCCTGTGAAATTAATACAGATAAAGCGGGAGGACATTATTGCCTGCCTATCTGCAAGCCCCAAATCACAGCAGTCAGCAGACAGTTAGAGACATTCGCAATAAGAGATTTCTGCGAAGAGCACTAAATGCAGGCTAAAGATTTTGAAATGTGCCATAGATTAAAAAATTAAACTGAGCTTTTAAGTGAAAGGTGCCCTGTAAGCATTGCAATACTCAGTAGGAGTTGATGGGGGATGTACAGAATGCAGAGATGCAGTTTTTTTGGTGGTCACATATCAGTGTCATTCATTACAGTTAAATGTGCAATCCATTTATTTTCACTACTTTTTTGTTGTTGTTGTTGTCGTCACTTTAATGGAAGCTGTATCGTGGAATGTTATTGCTTTGACAAGACTTAAAATGTTTACTAAAATGTTTTGTTCTTGAATGCAATTTTCTGTCATGTAGAAAATGTAGCAAATGTAGCATGTGTGAGAGAATAATACCTGATAATCTTCTGCAATTGATATATGAGACTGTTAAAGAGAAGAAAAATCATAACTTCTAGGACTGCATGATTTGCATGACTATTGTAATAACGCTTTCTTTATTAAAAATTAAAATATAGTATTTAAGAATAAATACTAACAATAATAATTAGAAAATAATAGCAATATTTTTATTTTACAGAAAACTTATCTTACCTAAACTACAACCAGTTATATCATCGACATAGGCAGACATACTGTTTACACTTCAAAGTTTTCCTTAACACCTGCAACTGAAAAACCATCCGGATCTCTCCATTCAGATCTCTTACACAAAGGTTCAATTACAAGACTATATAATTGTCCAGAAAGAGCTAAACCCTGTCTAATACCTCTTGTGACTGTTACTGGGACAGTTTTTCCGCCACCAACCTTAGCACTGATACGTCAGTCATAATATAACAATTTAACATATTATGAAATAAATTGATCACCAATTCCAAAACTCTTTACCACCTTAAAAAGAGAGCATGCTTTTTTTTTTTTTAATCTATTGACATGACACGCAAATTAGAATAACCATAGACAACTACTGCACTGCTTCTGTTCCATAATTGTATCATCCAAAGCTTTCTTTTTCCTTGTTCCAACTGTGGTAGAATTTTTAATACTTTGCTCTATCAAGATCACATTCCTCAGTACTGTCTAGAAGGAGAAATACGTTACTCGTTTGGCATTTTTTGTAACCTGTTTTTTTGGGACACTAATAGTGTCTAGGTAAGAGGTCAACTAAACGTCCAATGGGGTTTGTTTGGCTTCCATCTTAAAGTGATGTCAGCGCTAATGGTGATTTTCATCATCTCCTGAACCACACAGAAATACAGCCACTTTTTCATATAATCTTGACACCAGGAATAAAGTGGAAAAAATTGGGTGTTCTTTGGAGATAATTTGCCTTTGCAATCAAAATCCGTCCCTGGTTATTGAATTATGAAATTAAAATTACAATATGTAATCCAGAGAATTTACTTTAGAAAATTTACTGAAATGTTCTGTTGAAGAATCAGTTGTTGAAAAACGTGTTATATGTTTGAACAAAATTTAGAGCTAAAATCTTTTTTTAATAATTTTTTTTACTCCATATAAAAAATCCTTTATATAATGAAATCTGGAAAGGAAGAAATCAAATACCCCGAAATTGTAATAGCCCGATTTTAATATCAATTTAAATTGGACGGTTTTGTGCAACATTTACATTCATCTGTGATGGGACTTTTATTTTGTGGCAATGAGACAACAGTTTCTTACTTCACACTTGTGCTTTTGCTGGCGGCGTCAGTGAGAGTTCCGGAATCTCAGGAATTTGGGCTCTTCGACTCCTCAACCCCCTGCAGTACCCAATTCAAGATTTTCCGCGCCTGAAAGGTATATCTAATTATTTTATCCACTTTATTTCTTTCACAGGTCAGGTTTTATCCGATGCGTGACTTTTGGTTCTCTGAAGATTAACGTTAGCGTGTCACTCGCTCGTAACCTCAGTGAATGAGCTCCGTTATCAGAGGTGTGTCATCATCACTAACGTTAGTGCGCGAGAAAGAGTTCAAACCACCTCAATCCTACATCATCCCACGAGAACTAAACGCACTTTGTTATGCAGAATTCACACGTTATGTTTTTCTTTGCCAAAATCGTTTTCTGTTTGCTTACTGCTGGTACTTGTAAAGCTACTTTAAACATGCAAGTTACTTTAAAAAGAGCTGTAACGTTAACGTTACTATAAGATACATTGCATGATATCAGTTCTAACAATTTCATGTTTTTATAATGTATGTCTGCGGATTATTATAAAAAGAGTTCACTGTTCAGAGTACAGAACAAACTTTTGGTTTATTTCTAAATCGTAACGTTATCATCAATGTTTTACGTTACTCTGCACATTTGATTTATATCGTCTCTGTCTGGCTTCGAGTTCTTATCATTATGCCTGGAGCATTTCATCATGTTTGAGTCCAAAACGTGTCACAAAACATTTTGTTATACTTCTGTAACAAGGATATATCTAAATCAGTGATGCTAAGGACTTTTTGACTCCAAGACCCTCCAATGTCCACCTCAATAATATTTAGGCCCATCACTTTTTCAGAAAGACCCCATTATTTTTTTTCCTTTCTTTCACTGCATTCAACAAAAATACAATAAACTTTCCTTATTTGAATTAAAATGAGTAAACAAGTCCTTGATTTTATTGCTCTTAATGTTTCATGTAAAATGGCTGGTGCAGTTTGTGGTGAGACTGATGCTCGCAGACAGGAACTGACTTCCTGTTCCTGTAGAGCTGTGAAACTTTTCACTTTATCGACGGCTTTCTCGTACATGTAGGTTCAACTCGTTCTGCGACATAAAGATGCTCCATTTTTTTTTAACACTTAATTTTGTTTTCTCATATAATGTGTTCCATCCATAATGTAAATAAGCCTGGTTTCAAAAGATGCTATTTTTTGCAGGTTTGGTTTCGAACTCAAAATGTCTCAAGCTGAAAAACTGAAGGTAAGGAAATGAGAGCTGATGGGTGGATGTTGTACAGGGTTTGGGTTTTATGTGGAGTTGATGTGCAAAGAAATGATACTGAGAGAGATTTGAGAGAATTAAGTATTTTAGAGAGCCGTGTTTAGTAAGACTTTTTAAATGAGCGTTTTCATCAATTGTTCTGTTTTCTTGTCATCAGCAGGGACAGTTTACAAACCCAGAGACTCCTGGATATGTGGGGTTCGCGAATTTGCCAAACCAGGTACACCGGAAATCAGTGAAAAAGGGCTTTGAGTTCACTCTTATGGTGGTGGGTAAGTAGCATCAATGTGATGGTTGGAATTTGTCAGATAAACTTGGAAATATTACCAATATACTTCAATGTAACTTTTGAATAACTTTTTGTTTCATAAAAAAAATACAAATTTAATTATTTGGAAAGCCATCTACATCATCATTTAGCCATATGAAAGACATATGGAAATGTCTCATTCTGGAAACATCAGTGAGAACAGGTTTGGAAGGAAAACGTTATATTTTAGTGTAGTTCATGATTTAATTGTTATTTTGAAGTGAAAGGGACTGTGGGAACAAAAGCCTTTGGCAGCAGCTGATGAATCATAGTTTTTTTTTCTAAGGCAATCAGACTCTCCCATCAGCTCTCTGTGTGTGTGTACAGATGTTGACACACACACACACACTCGAGATCTGCTCTGGGGGGAGGGTGTCCGGGAGCCCGCTCAGCAGAGCCCATTGTACAGTCATCCCATCGTCTTAAAATAAATCACAGAGGAATGCAGAACTTCAGCCGTGAGCCCTTTCACTGCTGCACAGCTTCAGCAAATGATGGAAGACAGCTTGACTGAGAAGTAGAGAGCAAAAACACTGACTAGAGGATCTGGGGTCTTATTTATAAAACTGTGTGTTGAATCTTTACTAAAAGTGTACAGCCAAAAATATTCAGACTTATTAAACCATGCATATGCTAGAAACTGCACAAAATTCCCTTTATAAATCCCAGTCAGAGGAAGATTGTGCGCACGTGTCCCCACCCTGAAATAACCTTAGCAATCCTCATTGTAGTTAAAACATTAAAAAACAGCATGCCACAGGAAAAGCGTTAAATTGCATCCACTACAAATAGTTGTATTTATTCGAATACAAAAAACTGTTGTAACTTAAAGCTTAGATCCATTAATGAGAATGGCATACTTAATCTAAATGAGGTAAAACAGAGTTAAAATCGTTCTTTTATTTTTGTTTAACCTGTTATTGTGAACATGCACTGTATTTATGATTAGGACTCATAAAGAAGATTTTAAGTGTAATTTCTTCATCAGCCGTCAGTCCCTCAGCTAACCATCGTTGTCGCCAAAATGTTTGCGTGCAGGTGTGCAAATTTTCCCATCAAGTTTGTTTTTAGAAATCACAATTTATGCATAGGGGCCTGTTTTATGCATATGCAATGGTTATAAATGAGGCCCCTGAAGATTGCATATAACACTTTGACGTTATGCTATTTGTTAGTTGTGTTACGTGTAGGGAAACACAATCTGCCTGTCAGTGTTTTTCTAGTTGATATGATGATTTAATGTTTCTTCATTAATACTTCTGCTGTTTTCAGGTGAGTCGGGTTTGGGGAAGTCCACTCTTATCAACAGCTTGTTCCTCACTGATCTCTACCCAGAGAGGGTCATTCCTGGTGCTGCAGGTGAGAGCTTCAACACAATGTTATAGAATATTGTTCAGGTTTTTAAACATTATAATGGGGAAGGGCAAAAATAGTGGCCTGATATTTATGAGGCGGTTTTGCACAGGAGGTTGGACCTTGGAATTGTTTTTTTTAGCCTTTTCTGATGTATCTTTTACATGTGCTCTTGTTGTGTAGAGAAAATTGAGCGCACTGTGCAGATCGAGGCCTCAACGGTGGAGATCGAGGAGCGCGGAGTGAAGCTGCGTCTCACTGTGGTCGACACGCCTGGATACGGTGACGCCATCAACAGCCAGGACTGGTGAGAATTGCTTTGATGGTCATTAAAAATACACTCCACTCAAATACAGTCAAATAAATATTGTGTATGTTGTGTGGCTTTGGCTTGATTTCCTATTTAATGCTCTTTTTTTGATTCACCCAAAAACGAAAAATACTCCATGTAATGCAAGAGAATGGTTGATATTTTTCTTACACGCACCTAGTGTTTTTCTTCAGAAGACAGTGATCTATTCACTGAGCTCGTAATGATTAGTCACGATGGCTGTATGTGCTTTTTAGACCTTTGGTGTCCATTCACTCGCATTTATATGTACGCTAACATTTAAAAGTTTGGGGTCGGTAAGATTTACTTTTTTCTGGAAAATATAAAAAAATATTTAAGTTTAAAAGAACAGAATTTATTTGAAATGGAAATCTTTTGTAACATTATAAATGTCCTTACTGTCACTTTTAATTAATGCACCCTTGCCGAATAAAATCATAAATGACTTTTATTTTAAAACAAATCTTACTGAAACAAATAGTAGTGTATTCACAGAGATAGATTGTTGGATTGTTTTATTTAAATCCTCTTTTGTGTTTCTAACGTCTGGGATGGTGTGAGGTTGAATAGATTAGAGATTTATTTTGGGTGAACTTTCTCTTTGAGAGAACTTTGGTTGACGAGACACTTGATAGTGTAATTGGAGTCAGTCTTTGGTAGGAGACATGAAGATTAGAAAGAGGAATGGAGGAAGAGGTGTTTTTTTTTTCTTTTTTTGAGCTCTGGGAATGCTGTTCTGCTAGTGTGGAAGTGGTGAGACAGGAAACATGTGTGACCTCTTCCTGACTGCTCCCTGACCCACTTGAGCGCAAAAACAGCAAAGAGAAGATATTCAAGTGCTCTTGTCTGAAAAAGGAAATGTATGCCCTCACATAATTATTATACAAGTAAAAATTGACATTTTAATGTCCTGGCTGTGTACCAGACCAGATATTCATAGAATATATCTCTACAATGCATGTTAAAAATCGCTTTAGCCTTTTTTCTTGAAGGCCTGGTACATTTTTCATGTCTTGTTGTTTTTACATAGATGTTATAGAGTGCAACAGTGCCCAAAGCACTTTTCCAGAGGCATTGGTTCTGGAAGTATTTTTCCCATTCATTTTTCCCCATAGGGATTTAAAAAAAAAGTATTTATACACACTTTTTATTTGAACTGTTGTTTAAATCATAGTTGTTACATTAATTTTACTGTTTATTTAGTTAGCAAGTCCATTCTTTGTGGACAAATTGATAAACAGCATTGGGAAAGTACTAATTGGGAAAGAACTGTTGCACTCTTATACTTTTCAGTTTGAGTCTCTAAGGTCTTTTAAGGGGCTTATAACATGAGGGAGAAAATTTGCCTTGAACTTTTCAGATGAGCGATGAAAATATTGTAAAATTCAGAACTCAAACTTCCCTCCCCGATTATTTAAAATGAAATTTACTTGTACCTATTGGGTGATGAGAAATGGCCCCACCCAATCATGACGTTGTAATAAGGAGAAGGCAGGATAGATGCTATCATTTCTAAACAAAAGAAAAAAATTGTGATAAGACAGAGTCAAATGTGGGAAAAATGGTCAAACCATGTGATGTTTCTGGCTGCATGTGGCCCTCGCTGCTCTGCATATCCTTCAGATCCTAACATTAAAAACAAGTGGTTAAAGTCGAAGATCCCTGATCATTCATACAGTTTGTTCTGCACTTTTTTCTGAGTTATTTGGATGGAGCTTTTTAAATATATTTGACAAACTTCTTAAATGTTTATGTTGCTGATAAATCACTGTCTCTGTAAGTGTTTAAAGAGATGCTCTGTCTTTTCCTGGGAAGTTTTAACACCATTATCGCATACATCGATGACCAGTTTGAACGCTACCTACATGACGAGAGCGGACTCAACCGCAGGCACATTGTGGACAACCGTGTGCACTGCTGCTTTTACTTCATTTCCCCTCTGGGTCACGGGTGAGATCTTATATTTTACTCAGCTGAGACACTTTTTATGACACCTTCCACTGTCGTAGGATTAAGTGTTCGGGTTTAAATGGCTGATTTCCTTGTCTCATGTTCCAATTTGGTAGACTGAAGCCTCTAGATGTCCAATTCATGAAGGCCATTCACAACAAAGTGAATGTTGTTCCTGTTATTGCTAAAGCAGATACGCTGACGCTGAGGGAGAGAGAGAGACTCAAGCGCAGAGTATGCATTCAGATTTCTTTTCAAACATGGATTGATCACAAGTTTGGCTTGTTGGCTAAATGCATCTCTTTACGTGCTCTAGATTCTAGATGAAATCGATGAGCACGGCATCAAGATCTATCACCTCCCTGATGCTGAGTCCGATGAGGATGAAGATTTCAAAGAGCAGACCAGGATTCTCAAGGTATGTGGGTCTTATTTTTCTCATTTCATTTAAAGAGACTGTTCGGCCAAACTTAATAATTAGAACAAAATGAGGGTGAGAATACATGTTTTCATATAAAACACAAAACCATAAATGTAGTTTTTTTTTTTTTTTTTTTTTTTTTACCGGTTTGAAACTTTAAAAAAACAACAACACATAAGCACCATAAATATTCTATAATTCAAATGTTTGGGGTCAAGATTTTTTTTTAAAGAAAATACTTTTTTTTTTTTCAACAAATACACATTAAATCAATCAAAAATGACTGTAAAGACAACAGTGTTACAAAAGATTTCTATTACAAGAAAAATGCGGTTCTTCTGATCTTTCTTTTCATCAAAGAATAATAACAGATTTCACCAAAATATTTTGCATCACAACTGTTTTCAACATTTATAATCATAAATTTAGCTTAAGCAGCAAATCAGCGTCTTAGAATGATTTCTGAAGGATCATGTGACACTGAAGACTCAAGACAATGATGCAGAAAATTCAGCTTTACCATCACAGGAATAAATTGTTTTAAACTATGTTAAAATAGAAAAGTTATTTTAAATTGTAATACTATTTCACAATATTACTTAGTGTATTATGTAATGTAATAAATGCAGCCTTGGTGAGCATAAGACTTTTAAATGAATAAATAACTTGCTACCCCAAAACAATGAATTGATTGCATATCATAAAAGTGCTCCATATGTTTTGTTTACTATATTTAAGTTTTATTGTAGATGTGAGGAATAGACTAAATGTTGAAAGAGAATTACTAGAAGAACACAAGTCAAGCTAATTTAGCCCAACATGAGGGTGAGAAAATGATTTTCTTCTCATAAGTTTCCTTTGGTCTTTCTGTTGTAGGCCAGTATACCGTTTGCCGTGGTGGGATCCAACCAGCAGATTGAAGCTAAAGGGAAGAAAGTGAGAGGGCGTTTGTATCCATGGGGCGTGGTGGAGGTGGAAAACCCAGAACACAACGACTTCCTTAAACTTCGCACCATGCTAATGTGAATAACTAAGTTATCTTCTGTTTAATGTTGTAAAATTCTTGATTTTACACAAATGAGGTTGTGAGGAAGCTTGAAGTCAATCACAAAACTTGCGTCCTTTAAACAGTGGAAACATTAAATGGACTTTACTTCTGTCCCTCTCAGCCTCATATTCATTCTAAGATCATGTACTTTATCCTCAGTCTCTGTCATTCTTGTCTAATGATTATTATGAATGGTTATTGCCATCTGTGCAGCACCCATATGCAGGACCTGCAGGAAGTCACCCAGGACCTTCACTATGAGAACTTCCGCTCGGAGCGCCTCAAACGAGGCGGCAGGTTGTCCTCCCATGGTTACATTCTGCCTCTGTCGCCTGCGTACGTACTGCTCTGCCTGTCTTTCCTCACCTCCTCCCTCAACCTCAATAAAAGTGGAGTCAGATTATTTGAATAGCAATCCAGATGTATTGAAATAGCACAACTTTACATAGTCACTTCTCATTTTTGCTAAAGACACGCATAAACAGTCGTTTGGTAGCAAAAATAAAAGGAGAAGTGCAGCTTTGGTTTAAGCTGATGGACTCTAGAGAGATGGAAGCTTGAGTTTTAATGTGTGCTGTGTTGACTTAGTGTCATGGATCTGCAGCAAGCTGTGGGATTTGTGTTCATCAGAGGATAGGAGGGGGAGGTACTGCTCGGAGCTCAGTCACAGCTCCACCTGTCCTTCAGCCTGACTCTAGCACTGCTAAAACACTCTCTCGCTCACACAAATACTCACTAAGTAACTTTCTGATCAGCTTATTACACGCTTGCACTACTAACTTGGGTTTGTCTTTTCCCTCTGTCCTAAACTCTGCATCGCAAGACACTCTGCTGGTGTTTTACTAATTCAGTTTTTGTTCAATCACAATGTAAATTTGGTGTGTAATCTGGCCTGTCAATTCAAATACATTTTTTTTTTATTTTTTTTTTACAAAATTAGCAATAATAAACAATTATTTTCCTATCATTAGAACACTTTAATAAGAGATAAGAGATATTCCATTTTTGTCAGGCATATAAAATGTTTTTTTTATTATATTATTATATTTTTTTATTAATGTTTTTTATTATATCTTATATTATAAGATTATATATAATTTAATTCTTACTTGAATGTGTGTGTGTGTGTGTATATATCTATCTCACACACACACACACACAATGTTTGTGCGCGCACACACAACACAAAAAATTATATACATATTATATAAACAAACTTTTGTAATTTGTGATTTATATAATATTTATATTATTTTATTTACATATATTGTGTGTGCACACAAACATTGTGTGTGTATACGTATATAATAATAACATAATATAAGTATATGCCTGCTACAATAATTTGATATGTTTAAAGTATAATTATCTAAATGTATTTTATATTTAATGATATTCTGAGTAATATATTTAAGCTACATGGCATTTATTTCAAATATAATTTTTCAACATTTGACAGACCTAGTAATTTTGTTTTGCCAACAGAATGACGTAATTGTGAGATCTGTCTCATAAATGATGATTTATTAAACTTCACTGCTCATTAAAGCTGTGTGTGCGTCTCTTTACGCCTGCTTTGTGTTTGGCAGGAAGGGTCCAGAGCCAGAGGAAGATAAGGATATAATCTTGCAGGAGAAGGAGGCTGAGGTACACAAGCTGAACGCTAATAAACAACTGCTTGAGTGTGAAGGTCAGCGTGTGATTGTGTTTGTGTGTCTCTCTCAGCTGAGGCGGATGCAGGAGATGATCGCTAAGATGCAGGCGCAGATGCAGAAGCAGGGAGATGAATGAGGCGGCCCACACCTGTGAGAAACCCGGTAAGAGCAGATTACAAACACGGACATTAAAGCAAGCAAACCATGCCAACAACAAACAAACAAAAAAACAGAATCTGTAGTCACAGGACTGACACGTTATATAACATCAACATTTAATGTTATATTTGATATTATTGCCTTTTAGACTTTTACTTTTTAAAAATGTAATATTTTGTAAATGTATTTTTATGCAAATCTGAAATAGAATTTAATATTGAGTCACTTTTGTTTTAGAGAAAATTGGCAATTTATTTTTGGCTTTAAATATGCAGTTAGGGAGATTGTTTTTGTCTGTATTTCTTATAGATGCCGAGCTTGACACAGTCAGAACGAGAAGAGGAAGTGATGCTAAATGTGGAGAAAGAGGAGAGACAGATCCTTAGCTCATCTTGCTTGCCATTTTCTTAGTTTCTTTCAATCTTGTATGAGGGTTTTCCCCCAAATTTTTTAAGCAGTGTTAACTTTTTTTTTTTTATATATATATATACTGTTGCTAATATTCATTCTTTTTTTCCCTGTTCCAGTAACCAAAAATGAAGAACTACCATCAGTAATTAAGAAAAAAAAGTATGTTTTTCTTCTGTTACAAGAGCCAAATTCTACTATAGAGCAGCTTTAGTAGTAGTGCAGCTCCAGAACACTTTATCCTGTCTAGCTAAACAACACTGTGAAAATACAAGCAGCTGTTGAATTTCAGTGTCACAGTGGCATTTGTTGCACCATGTTTTTGGAGAAATCATTTTTATACTGTTTGTAAGTATTGCCAGAGAGATTGCTGTTCCTATTCAGGAGGTTTTTTTTCTCTCTTCCCTGCATGAAGTCTTGAAATATATTTGCTGTTCAGTTGAATGGTTCCCTAACGGATGCAAAACATTATACTGTGACCCATGAATCATTCCCTATGCCGATTAATGAAGGAGAACATATGCTCATTTTGCTTATTTCTATTTGTACTTGAGTGAATACTGTCATGTATTTACTGTCAGACACAGTTCTGGTATGAGTGCAATGTAAAATTTCCTTGGTGTTTTTACCTTCTTTTGGGATCTATGGCTGAGACTTATTCCTGTGGTTAAAGCAAATTTCTATATCATAAATAATTTCTTTTTCAAATGTTACAATGAAATAATATCTGAAATGTGGGTTTAAATCTGTTACACAAGCAAACTTAAACAGTTGAGCTTTCCTTTCCATGTTAGGACATGAAAATGGCAGTTGCCCACAATCCAGTTTTAATGTTTCGCTTGAAAACTTTCTATTAAACCATTATCGTCTATCATCTTATAATAAAATTTTGTATTTAACAGTTTTTGGGGTTTGCCTTTGTTGTTGTTCAGATATTAATTTGCTGGTGATTATAGTAGGAAGGTCATAAATGACTTGTCAAAATGGTGGGCTAATTACAAAACCGTTACTCTCCATGGGCACTAGAGGTCGTGAAACAGAAATCATTGTACCAAAGAAGTTTTTCAAAGTAATGTTTCCTCATCAAATTAAACTGTAATCTTGCAAGTGTGTAAATGTGAGAGGCCTGACCCATTGACAGTACATGGATTAATGGGCTCGAGCTCAGATGAAGACAGTATTGTGATACAGACCATTGGAATATAATTTGAGTGTATCTAAAAACAAAGGACATTTGAGCATTCCTTAAAAATAAAAGATATCTGAGCATAACTAGAATGAAATCTTTAGGCATTTTCATGCGCTTACTGTCTGATAACAGGAATTATTTAATAGTAATGGTGTGTATTGCATGCTTTTTGCACAATGGTAATATTTAATATATTACAACAATACATAGTTTTGTATAAGTTTTGATTATCGATAAATATAAGACCATAGATTCCCCTACATGTATTTATACATATAACTGTATATGCCCCACGTCACCTGAAAACCTTACTTTATGATGCACATTGTATGATTTTCTTCATTTTAACTTCTTTAAATATTTGAAGAGGTTTTGACAAATGTGTAATTACCACACAAACACGTTTCCATAAACACTTTATAATAGGATTTTGATCTAACAGGTAAACACAGTTCGCTCCATGACATGGCTTTTTCTCTTAAATACTTTCCATTCTATAAAGAAAACTGTAAAAATATTTAGTCATAACTAATTAAAAGTTCTCTGGGAGTAAGAGGGTGGAGGATGGGCAGTTGTATTGTGGTCCTGATGGGGCTCTGATGGTTTTGGGCGGAAGGAGGGAGGAGCAGCAGCAGCAGGGGCCGGGCTTCACCGTGATGATGGTTTGGTGTTGCCATTCAGAGCAAACCTGATAGAAAAGAAGAGTTTTTTAAAGCAGAATATGCGAATTACACTCAAGAGCTTTTAAACATTTGAAAGAAATTAACCCTGGGTAAAGGGAATCCTGGGTAATCTTGCTTCTAATTTACCTGGGGTTAACAATTATTCCTGGGTATTCATGGACTAGACTAGAAAGTAATAATGAAACGGTCTCTTCTTTACTCCAATTTTCACTTTCAGTCATTATTTGCCATTTTCCCCTCAAACACAGACAGTTCTGTGACTATCCAAAGCATGTGAATAAGAAGCACGTGATAGGTTGTTGGTTGCTAAGCATCTAATCAAAACTAGACATGTTCGCATGTCCCTCAAGTCTTTGAGTCTAATTGAAGTATTGAGTCAAAATGAACAAATCTTTTCCCGAGTCAATTTGTTCATTGACTGAACCAAATGACACGAAAAAAAAGATTCATTTATTTTAATAAGTCACAAATGCGCATCACAGAACAGAGCCATTTGAGCTTATAAAACTTAAACTTTGTTTTTTTTTTTGTTTTTTTAAATGAGCGATCGTTTTGCTTGATAAGACCCTTATTCATTGTCTAGAATCGTTTAAAGCCCTTTGAACAGTTTGCACTGAAACTGTCTTTTGGACCTTGAACCGTTTGGTTCCCAGTAAAGACCATTATATGGAGAAAAATCCTGGAATGTTTTTATCAAAAACCTTAATTTCTTTTCGACTGAAGAAAGAATGACATGGACATATTGGATGGGCATCCAAGTGAATGAAAACATCCTGCAAAGTTTAAAATCTGAAAGTGCACCATATATAAAGTTATTGTCTTTCAAAAGTAAGAGTCGACAGAGTCAATGAAATGAACAAGCCATTTCCTTGTGACGTCAAGGCGAAACATTACCATATTGCCCGCCCACTTATTAAGCAGACTATAGGGGTGTAACGATACATGCATTCATGTTGAACCTTTCGGTACGAGGCTTTAAGGGGGGGGGGGGGGGGGGGGGGTGCGCATTATAAACCGAACGATTCCTGCCAACCAAAATCCGCGCTGGCGCGACCACCACAACTTTGCGCTACATCAAATGGCAAACACAATGAAAGCAGAGCGAAACTGAGCTACACATTATTTTGTACTTAAGTGGTTAAAATTGATCTTTACCAAAATACAGTATATTCCTAAACTTAAGCTGTGTTCCCTTTATTTTACTGACGACTGCTTCTCAATGCAGGATTCACACACCACTTGCTCTGTTAAAAGATTTTCAAAATACTTAGTTTTGAGTTTCATATTGTGTTGGTCTCCTGCTAACTGATTAACTCACATTATCACTGTCTTACTGAAATCAGTTGTGACCGGGCCACTATTAACTAAAACTGTGTCTATTAATGCAGATTGTCTGTCGTTCTCAAGCCTGGCTAACGTCAGACCCCGTCTCACTGACATTGAGACGTGGTCTGGGAACCACACATTCATTTTCTCGCATTTCTCGATAACCCAGGGTTAAGCGTAGTGTGAAAAGCCCTAAATAGTGGCATATATTCTATACCAGGGGTTCTCAACTCCAGTCCTCGCGACCCACTGCTCTGCATATTGTGTCTCCCTTATTTAACACACCTGATTCAGATCCTCAGCTCGTTAGGATAGCCATCTACAGACTGGAGTTGAGAACCCCTGTTCTATACCACTGCTCTTTTTTCTTCATACAGATCTGCTCACCTGCACACTCTCTCCATCATATGTGTGACCAGGAGGTCAGAGATGCCAGGGCAGGACTCTTCTGCCAGGTTGAAGGCATTCTCCAGCTCCTCTATGGCACCCATTCCTCCTCCACATGCCCTTCTCTTCTCTTTCAGCTGGAGAACAGATTGACTTACATTTAACTCTATAACAAATAGAGTTTATCACTGTTTATTACTTTACTACTACATTATCTGCTGCCACCGTGATAAAAAGCATAACGTTAACAGAGATAACTCCAGTCAGGATGTGAGAGTTTGATGTTGTGCATTTTTACCTCTCTGAAGATGGGAGAGACCAGCGCCGACAAACATTGTGACTTGGGCTGCCTCTTTACCGTCTCAGCTGCCTGTAAAACAAATTCAAACCATAACATTACATCTTTCATGTAGGGATGTCAAAAGCACTGGTACTTCAGTACAAGGTTCATGCTAAAAATAAAATGTTGTAAAACAGGTGCACTGATGTGTTATTTCAGTATTACTGAGATACTATTTTATTTTATTTCAACTTTAGAGTACGTTTTAGTTGTTTTTGTTATTTTTTTAATGTCGCCTTGGCAGCTAGCTGAAATAAAAGTTTATTTTTTAATACTTTCTTTTATTTTAGTTAAAGGATCCCATAAAATTATCCCATAATTTACTCACCCTCAAGCCCTCCTAGGCGTATATGTCTTTCTACTTCAGCCAAACACAATCGGAGTTATATATCTTCCAAGCTTTATAATGGGAGTGAATGATAACTGATTTATGCCTATATGCACATGACCATTAAAAATTAAAGCTCCACTTTCACATAAATGCTTCACTTTGCGTGTCAGAATGTTTGAATCCATATGCTAACTACACACCATCACTGTAAAGCTGCTTTGAAACAAACAAATCTGTACGGTAACAGGTGCTATTGCTACATAAATAAAAGTGACTTGACCATCATATATTCCTTTATATAAAGAGCATAAAATAATTAGAGCACCATTTACTTGCCTCAAAAGTCTGGTATTGCTATAATTATTATTTATTGCTACACTTCAATATGTGAATTATTCCATCAGAAAAAAATTATTCCGTCACAAAAAGAGCATCATAATTCATCAACAGTACATCATGAGCAGGGTTGCCAGGTCTACATAACAAAACCCGCCTATTGTGCCTAATTGCTAATCAAAAACTAGCCCAAATGCATTCCAGTAAAATTCCTGGATGGTTTACTTCAACACGTGGCAACAGTGTAAAAGAACCCCAATACTACTTGGCATAAGCTATTGCATGGAGGCATAAAGGCATGTTATTCATCAACTGCAAACTGCTCTGAAACCATGACTCTGTAAAAATGTGAAACGCTCATATTTATTTAAATCATATCCTTTGAAGTTTAATAAATCATATTAATAATTAAATGTAAGACCCCACAAAATTATGATTAAGAATTCTGTGATTCCATATACACTTTTTGTGACCTTAAACTTATTTGAATAATTACAAGAAACATTTGTTGCTTCTTTGAGAAATTAAACATTTCATTGTTTTTGTTTCATTTATTAATATTTAATTTGAACTTCTTAACAAAATTGGTATCACTGACTAAAATGTTGGTATTGTGAACTTTATTCCTTTTTAAAAATATATATATCTATATATCTATACGATGACAGGACAACCCAAACGGATGTATTTCTAAAACAAATATGAAATGTTGGAATCCTCACCTCTGAGTCTGTGTTTGTGTAGCCCTTCTGGAGCTTGTTCATGGAGCTGGGTCGGACTGTGGGGAACGTCCACATGGGACACTGGTCTCGGTCATCACTATCGCCATCCCTGTTCAAGTACGAGGAGAAACAGAGGCTATAACTCATGAGGATCCATTCACCAGACATCTAATTAAAAGGACAGGGCTCAAGTAATAAGAAATGAATAATACATCAGGATGAATTAGAGGGCCGTTATTGATCGTAGAGTATGTGCATTATGATGGACAGATGGATGACATACATGTCAGAATCATCAGAGCTCGACTCGTCTCCGTGGCCTTCAGACTTCCAGCGGCGGTATCGGTCAATCAGCTCCGTCAGATAGGAGGTTTTCTTGGTGTAGCGTGTGATGAATTTGTGCTTCAGTAACTCCTTGGCGGTGGGCCGCTGCACATATCCAGAATAGTGATGCTCAATGTTTTTTACCACCTCATGTCAAAAATCTTGAAATGTCTGTCTACAATTAGAGCTTGATCATTTATATTAATAAGTTGTGTGCTATATACAGCTACATTACCAATCAAAAGAATTTTTTTATTTGTTTAAAG